TTTATCACACCGGCTGTTCCCCCAAGGAGGGTGGCCCGAAAAGAAAAAATTTCACATCATTCACTCCCACGCTGCCGAAGGGGCTTTACACTACAGTTTTTAAACTGCAACATTTTAAACCCCCTCCTTCGGTCAGGCACTGTACTTCCCCCCCTCCAGGGCTCAAATCGGCCCTGCCGGTTTTTCCCTGAATTCCCCTTTTAAATGTTACTTTGCTCACACTCCAACAGCACGTCAATATTAAAAACCATTTGTTCCATTCACTCCTATCAAACACGCTCACGCATGCCTGCGGAAATCAAGCCCCCCAACAAAACCTCCTTTACCCCCTCCCTCCCCCCCCTGCCGCCCCTACCCCCCTTCCCTTCCCTACAAATGTACACTCTTGAAGTCATTCGTTTCGCTCCCCTTTCTCTCTACATGTCCCAACCACCCAAACCCTTTCCCCACCCCTTTTACAACAGTTTTGGTAATCCCGCACCTCCTCCTAACTCCAAAATGAATTCTTGCATTTTATTCACACCACACATTTCCCTCAGACAGCATCTCCACCCTCCAGCCTTTTCCCGCTGCAACATTCATCACCCCCCGCTTACCCCCATAAAAAAGAGCGTTGGTAAAATATACTCTCATACATTCCCCTCTTTTCCCCCAAGGACAAAATTCTTTGTTTCCACAGACTCCTAAGTGCACCACTCACTCTTTTTCCCTCATCAATTCTATGATTCACCTCATCTTTCATAGACCCATCCGCTGACACGTCCACTCCCAAATATCTGAATACGTTCACCTCCTCCATACTCTCTCCCTCCAATCTGATATTCAATCTTTCATCACCTAATCTTTTTGTTATCCTCATAACCTTACTCTTTCCTGTATTCACCTTTAATTTTCTTCTTTTGCACACCCTACCAAATTCATCCACCAATCTCTGCACTTCTCTTCAGAATCTCCCAAGAGCACAGTGTCATCAGCAAAGAGCAGCGTGTGACAACTCCCACTTTGTGTGTGATTCTTTTCTTTAACTCCACGCCTCTTGCCAAAACCCTCGCATTTACTTCTCTTACAACCCCATCTATAAATATATTAAACAACCACGGTGACATCACACATCCTTGTCTAAGGCCTACTTTTACTGGGAAAAAATTTCCCTCTTTCATACATACTCTAACTTGAGCCTCACTATCCTCGTAAAAACTCTTCAACTGCTTTCAGTAACCTACCTCCTACACCATACACTTGCAACATCTGCCACATTGCCCCCCTATCCACCCTGTCATACGCCTTTTCCAAATCCATAAATGCCACAAGACCTCTTTAGCCTTATCTAAATACTGTTCACTTATATGTTTCACTGTAAACACCTGGTCCACACACCCCCTACCTTCCTAAAGCCTCCTTGTTCATCTGCTATCCTATTCTCCGTCTTACTCTTAATTCTTTCAATTATAACTCTACCATACACTTTACCAGGTACACTCAACAGACTTATCCCCCTATAATTTTTGCACTCTCTTTTATCCCCTTTGCCTTTATACAAAGGAACTATGCATGCTCTCTGCCAATCCCTAGGTACCTTACCCTCTTCCATACATTTATTAAATAATTGCACCAACCACTCCAAAACTATATCCCCACCTGCTTTTAAACATTTCTATCTTTATCCCATCAATCCCGGCTGCCTTACCCCCCTTTCATTTTACCTACTGCCTCACGAACTTCCCCCACACTCAACAACTGGCTCTTCCTCACTCCTACAAGATGTTATTCCTCCTTGCCCTATACACGAAATCACAGCTTCCCTATCTTCATCAACATTTAACAATTCCTCAAAATATTCCTTCCATCTCCCAATACCTCTAACTCTCCATTTAATAACTCTCCTCTCCTATTTTTTAACTGACAAATCCATTTGTTCTCTAGGCTTTCTTAACTTGTTAATCTCACTCCAAAACTTTTTCTTATTTTCAACAAAATTTGTTGATAACATCTCACCCACTCTCTCATTGCTCTCTTTTTACATTGCTTCACCACTCTCTTAACTTCTCTCTTTTTCTCCATATACTCTTCCCTCCTTGCATCACTTCTACTTTGTAAAAACTTCTCATATGCTAACTTTTTCTCCTTACTACTCTCTTTACATCATCATTCCACCAATCGCTCCTCTTCCCTCCTGCACCCCACTTTCCTGTAACCACAAACTTCTGCTGAACACTCTAACACTACATTTTTAAACCTACCCCATACCTCTTCGACCCCATTGCCTTATGCTCTCATTAGCCCATCTATCCTCCAATAGCTGTTTATATCTTTACCCTAACTGCCTCCTCTTTTAGTTTATAAAACCTTCACCTCTCTCTTCCCTGATGCTTCTATTCTCCTTGTATCCCATCTACCTTTACTCTCAGTATAGCTACAACTAGAAAGTGATCTGATATATCTGTGGCCCCTCTATAAACATGTACATCCTGAAGTCTACTCAACAGTCTTTTATCTACCAATACATAATCCAACAAACTACTGTCATTTCGCCCTACATCATATCGTGTATACTTATTTATCCTCTTTTTCTTAAAATATGTATTACCTATAACTAAACCCTTTCTATACAAAGTTCAATCAAAGGCTCCCATTATCATTTACACCTGGCACCCCAAACTTACCTACCACACCCTCTCTAAAAGTTTCTCCTACTTTAGCATTCAAGTCCCCTACCACAATTACTCTCTCACTTGGTTCAAAGGCTCCTATACATTCACTTAACATCTCCCAAAATCTCTCTCCTCTCCTCTGCTTCCTCTCTTCTCCAGTGCATACACGCTTATTATGACCCACTTCTCGCATCCAACCTTTACTTTAATCCACATAATTCTTGAATTTACACATTCATATTCTCTTTTCTCCTTCCATAACTGATCATTTAACATTACTGCTACCCCTTCCTTTGCTCTAACTCTCTCAGATACTCCAGATTTAATCCCATTTATTTCCCCCCACTGAAACTCTCCTACCCCCTTCAGCTTTGTTTCGCTTAGGGCCAGGACATCCAACTTCTTTTCATTCATAACATCAGCAATCATCTGTTTCTTGTCATCCGCACTACATCCACGCACATTTAAGCAACCCAGTTTTATAAAGTTTTTCTTCTTCTCTTTTTTTAGTAATTGTATACAGGAGAAGGGGTTACTAGCCCATTGCTCCCGGCATTTAGTCGCCTCATACGACACGCATGCTTACGGAGGAAAGATTCTTTTCCACTTCCCCATGGACATAGAAGAAATAAAAAAGAACAAGAGCTATTTAGAAAAAAGAGAAAAACCTAGATGTATGATATATATAATATGCATGTGCGTGTCTGTGAAGGTGTGACCAAAGTGTAAGTAGGAGTTGCAAGATATCCCTGTTATCTTAGCGTGTTTATGAGACAGAAAAAGAAACCAGCAATCCTACAATCATGCAAAACAGTTACAGGTTTTTTGTTTCACAGTCATCTGGCAGGACGGTAGTACTTCCCTGGGTGGTTGCTGTCTACCAACCTACTACCTATATATATATATATAATATATATATATATATATATATATATATATATATATATATATATATATTATATATATATATATATATATATATATATATATATATATATATATATAATATAACCACGAACGAGTGGCATTGATCAATAACAACACTGCATTAGCCAAGGATTCGAACCCTTGTTGTACTGGCCTGCCTCATGGTAAGCGAGAACCACATAACGCTTTAAATCACAGGACCACCCTACCCTACAAGAATGGTGCAGCCAGCACACAGCTAGCTGTTGGGCCGCCATCCGAGGGCATACGGAGGTGTGGGAGCTTCTAAGCTAATTTCATTCTCATCCCTGTTTGGTGTACTAGCCTCACGAGCAGTATTTATATATTATTGTAACCACGAACGGGTGGTATTGATCAATAACAACACTGCGCTAGCCAGTGTGTTGTGTGTGTGTGTGTCAGAGAGAGAGAGAGAGAGAGAGATCGCAGTCGGCAGGATTCGAAGACATTTCAGGGAGGCTGGCAAAGTTCCCCACGTGGCACTCTAGATCACTCGGTCACTGATGCTACAAAAGCTGGGCATCCTTGTTTACAAGCAATGTTTCTTTCCCAGCCCGGGCACACCAATGAGCCTCAACCATGGTTTTAAGCTGTTTTCACTCTCCTCTTGTATGTTCTGACTTCACAAGCATTTTATATATCAAGGCACGACGCATAAACAGAGAGGTATATGCAGATAAAGATCGGAATCAGCAGGATTCGAAGCCACGTTTGTTTCTGCGTGGTACATTGATTTAAAAGTCACCATGTTAGAGGCCCACTGGTGTTCCCGAAAGAAACATGGCTTGGGCTTGTAAACAAGGCTTCCCAGCTTTTGAGGCATTTGTGTCCGAATGGTCTTGAGCGTTAACTTGGGGAACCTTGTCAGCCTTCCCTGACGTGGCTTCGAATCCTGCTGACTGCGATCTCTCTTCTCTCTCTCTCACACACACACACACACACACACACACACACACACACACACACACACACACACACACACACACACACACACACACACACACACACACACACATAATATATATATATATATATAATATATATATATATATATATATATATAATATATAATATATATATATTATATATATTGCATCATCTAAGTACGCAGTTTTTAGTTACTCAGCCAGATTCCTTGCATCCCCACACACCCACGGTATATTAAATAGAGTGGGTGAGTGAAATTCAGCTGGGTTATCTTAAGCAAGCTATGACTGTCAGTGTACTTGGATTGGCAGATAAAAGTTAAGATATATGGTAAGTGTGCAGTATGCAACACAGTCGTGTTCAGTGGAAGAGACTAGAATGGTAGTAATGCATGGCTGTGAAGGGTGAGTGGAGGCAGCAGTCAGCAGGAAGCACACCTCAGCATTTGTCTTGTGCATAGTTGTCAGTAGTTCAACTGAACCTGCGCCTGCCACACTCCTGCCCTCGCCTCCTCAAACGCTCAGTGCAAGACATTATAACATTAGCTACATGTCTGTGATAAATACCTCCTTGTCTGTGACATTCTGATATCACCCACCAGGTGTGAAGACACTAGCCGAGTGCTTTAGAAAGAACTCTTGGAATTAAAAGTACTGCGAATCGTTACGAGTCTGTGATGAGTGTGGTGTAGTCTGGTGCTGGTCTGGTGTAATGTACGAAATATAAGTGATGGACTAGTCAGGTGTGGCGTAAGAAAAGAGAGAAGCGTGTGGGAAGTTAGTGTGGCTTTGGAATCGTATATTCATTGGACACTATGCTCGTTGACCTCATCAGTGTGCTTGTGTCATCCTTGACAGCACCTTTCTTGTGTCAGTAAGTCCCTGCAGCTGTCAGTCAACATGCCTGAACATCATATTGAATGATTCACGAAATCCTAATAACACGATTGCAAACAAACCCGTAACGTGGTTTATCATAACGAATGTTTTGGAATGAGAAAAGTCAGGAAGAAGGGTACCATAGGGTTCATTACAGCAGTGCTTGCATACCTGCCTACACCTGGCACACCTGTGGTGTTCAGATAACTGATGTAGCATGTGTGTGTTTCTTACAGATGTAACTGTGATGTAGGGTACACTGGCGTCAACTGTGAGAGTCGGTATGTACCGTGTGAGCCTTCGCCCTGCAACAACGGTGCCACCTGTGAGGCCAGGGAATCTCTCTCCTACAAGTGTCACTGTCCCAAAGGTAAGTAACTGCCTTGTCTTCTCACTGTCTCAAAGGTAAGTAACTGCATTGTCTTCTCACTGTCTCAAAGGTGAGTAACTGCCTTGTCTTCTCACTGTCCCAAGGGTAAGTAACTGCCTTGTCTTCTCACTGTCTCAAAGGTAAGTAACTGCCTTGTCTTTTCAGTGTCTCAAAGGTAAGTAACTGCCTTGTCTTCTCACTGTCTCAAAGGTAGCTGTTATCTCTCCACATACTCAGAAGGCAATTACTCTCTCTCCTTGTTACAAGGTCAGTATTTCATGTCCTTGTTACAAGGTTAGTATTTCTTACTTCAGACACGTTGCACACATGTTTGTGAATAAATAATACTAGTTTACTTTGTGGCTTATACACTGAAGACCCTGCAGCCTACTGACTTGTTGGGCAGTGATGAGTGCAGAGTCTGTGGTGGTGAGTGTAGAGTGGATGGTGGTGAGTGTAGAGTGGATGGTGGTGAGTGTAGAGTGGATGGTGGTGAGTGTAGAGTGGATGGTGGTGAGTGTAAGAGTGGATGGTGGTGAGTGTAGAGTGGATGGTGGTGAGTGTATAGTGGATGGTGGTGATGTAGAGTGGATGGTGGTGAGTGTAGAGTGAGTGGTGGTGATGTAGAGTATGCATGTTAACTCAGTGGTAGCGCCCTTCACTTACAACTGACGGACCTGGGAGTCTATCTGTAGTTGATTTCAGGAAAAATATCCCCCGCTTTCCTGTTTGATGGCACCTCTGCATGACTGATCAGGAACTGACTCGAGCAACTCTTGGTTTCATTTTGAAGACAGCCAGAAGTTACCTGTAGTAGCTTCCAGAGGTCACCGCCTCCGCGGCGCTGTCACAGACCATGCCTACTGTTTGCTGGCCTGATCAATCAAACTGTAGGTGCCCGCTGTTCCCAGTCCAACGTATGCACCACATCCCTGCTGATCAAGAACTGTTTTGAGAAATTTGTAGTGCTCCCTCTTAAAGACAGGTTTGTTGGTGACCTTCCTTATGCATAAAGGGAGGGCGTTGAGATGCCGTGGTCCCTTAACACTTATTGAGTTTCTCTGTGTGGTCATCGCTTCCTCCTGCACCGTCTGCCAAGTTTTTTGGTATTATACGTAATAATTTCGGTGTACAGGTTTGGGACCATTCCCTTCAAAAATTTCCAGGTGTAGATTATGATGTATCTTTCTCGCCTATATTCTAAGGAATACAATTCTGGGGGACTTGCTCCCTCTAATTTGGGTGCTTGACTGAGTTTAAACGAATTGTGAAGGTTCTCTATATGTTTTCCAGCTCAGCCCTTAGTAAACAGCAATATTCCAGCCTGGAGAAGATGAGTGCCATGAAGCGTATCATCATTGACTTGGTATCTCTTGTTTTGAAGGTTCTGATTATCCAACCTATCATTTTTCTTGCATTTGTGATAATATTGTTATGCTCCCTTAATATGAGATCTGACTTTATTACTCCCAGGTTTCTCACATTTGACTTTAATTCAGTCGAAAGGTTTGAGTTTGTCTTGTACTCTGGAGGCTCACTGTCTTCTGTGGATCCCGTTCTCTTGCAAGTTCTGGTATCATCTGCAAATGATGATACAGTGCTGTGGTTTATGTCCCTGTGTCACATATGAGAAAGAGAACTAGGGCGAGTACTGTGCCTTGGGGTACAGTTACTGGGTGTGTTGGTAATTTCCCTTGTATTTGAAGAATGTTAAAAATTCTTGGTCAATCTATACTTAATTATCTCTTAGTGGCTGGTGAGCACAAGCCATGATATTATATTATTGTCACCTGAGTGGCTACTTTATTGTGTACTCACAGCTCATTCTGTGAGCTGCAGCTTTTTGTGCGCTCACAGCTCATAAGTGAATTACATATAAACGAAGGTAACGTCTTGCACCAAGAGAACTAACCTTCCATCTTCCTCCTCTCTCTGACTCAACGTTCAATTGACAGCAAGCTCAGGCGGAGCTCTTGTGAACCAGGGTGAGACATAAGAACATAAGAAAGAAGGAACACTGTACCAGGCCTACTGGCCCATGCGAGGCAGGTCCAAATCGCCTACCGGCTTATGCCACTGACCCAGCCTAGTCAGGTCCAGGTCACATCTATTTAAGGGAGGAGCACGGCATCAGACCTACTAGCACAAGCTAGTCAGGTTCAATTCACACCCACTCATGTATTTATTTAACGTTTTACCTTGTATGACGGTACTCGAGAGTTTGTTCCACTCATCCACAACTCTATTACCAAACCAGTGCTTTCCTATATCCTTCCTAAATCTGAATTTTTCCAACTTGAAACCATTGCTGCGAACCCTGTCTGTGTTAGATATTTTTAGCACTCTATTTACATCCCCTTTATTAGTTCCTGTTTTCCATTTATACACCTCAGTCATATTCCGCCCAATTCTACGCCTTTCGAGAGAGTGCAGATTCTGGGCCCTCAGTCTATCCTCATAGGGAAGATTTCTGATACATGGGATCAACTTTGTCATCCTCCTCAGTAAGTTTTCCAGTTCATTTATATTCATTTATATATTAAACTGCATCTGCCACTTCTCCGACCACTGCATCAGTCTGTTCAAATTATCCTGGAGTGCTCAAATGTCCTCATTAGAATGAATTGGACGGCCCATTTTGGTGTCATCAGCAAATTTACTTATGTCGCTATTTATTCCCTCATCTATGTCGTTTATGTAAATTGTGAACAACAAGGGGCCCAACACTGACCCCTGTGGAACACCGCTTGTGACGTGGTGCCACCACTGTGATTTCTCCCCGTTTATGCAAACTCTGCTGCCTATTTGTCAACCATGTCAACCTATTCCGTGTGCCTTAAGTTTCCTCAATAGCCTCTGATGTGGAACTCTATCGAAAGCCTTACTGAAGTCCATATACACTCAATTCATTTTCATTACATGATCTACCTCCTCAAAATACCTTAGTGAAAAAGCTAGTAAATTCGTTAAGACTGTGAACGCCATTTGTAAAGCGTGTTGTTGTGATTCATTTGTTTTTCAATTTATGCCTTCAAGATGGTTTTGAATTGCCTCGGCAATTATTGATTCCATAAATTTTTCCCACTATGGAGGTAAGGCTTATTTATCTATAGTTCAAACCTAAGGACTGTCTCCTGCTTTGTAAATAGGTATTACATTTGTCATTTTCCACCTGTCTGGCACTATGCCAGTGTAGTGTTATGTTGAAAAGATTAGCAAAGGTTTGCTAAAACTCCTGTTTACATTCCTTTATAACCCTTGTAAATAGTTCATTAGGGCCTGGGGATTTGTAAGGATTTAATTTCTCTATTTGTTTGAGGACCTAACCTTTGATATACCTTTGAAGAGTTTCGAGAGTTTTACTACTCACGGAGCCCGGTCATGGGCCAGGCTCGTCTGGTGCTTGCCTGGTCAACCAGGCTGTTACTGCTGGAGGGCCCGCTGCCCTATATCCATCAACTGCCTGGTCTGGATCGGCACTGGTAAAGGATACTTGTCACAGTTTCCTCATGAAGGACTTCTCATTGTTTCAGCGTGTTTCTATATCTTCTGGTAAGATGAATGTTGGTGCCCGAATGTTGTTTCCGTATTCTTAACTTAATTGTTCCCACTGCACCTCTGCTCCCTCACTGGGTTTATTTTGGCACTTCCTTCCTATATCCTCTCACTGCAGTATGTTGTCATGGCAGTGTGCAGATTTGGGACCAGGCCCATATCACTAGTTACTCCAATCGTGCATAGTTTATTATCGTCCAGTTCTACATAATTTATTATTTCTGGAATTTCGCTAGTATCTTCCTGAGTAAAAACTGAGAGGATGTAAGTGTTGAAAATTTCACACATTTCCTTATGACTGTCAGTGATCTGACCTGAGTTACTTTTAAGTGGGCCTATCTTGTCCCTAATCTTACTTCTGTAACACTTAAAATCACCCTTATGGGTTGGTCTTCGATTTCCTTGCGACTTTAGCCTCATACTCCCTTTTTGCTTTTCTTATTCTATTTTTTTTATTTCTCTAACAGAATATATTGATTTCTTAACTGCCCATCCCCTCTTTTGATACACCTATATATGCCTCTATTTTGACCAATGAGATGTTTTAATCTATTGTTCATCCATTTGGGATCATTTTTGTTAGATCTAGAACACTAGCTCTTACACCACCATCTTCGAATTAGACCACGTTTGCATAACATTTTTGGATTCTTATTGTGGAAACATTTTGCCAAAAGGTGGTGTGGCTTCCCCGGGCGAAACGTTTCCACAGTATAGATTTACAAATGTTGCAATAGCATCTTAATTCTTCATCTTCACCAGTGGCGGCTCCAGGCCGGCCGACCCACTATACTCAGGCGTTGTTTCTCTTACGTTGGAAACCAATAGGAATTGTAATGCGGGGTTGCGAGGATGGGGCGACGAACGAACGAACGATAAGACCCCCCAATGAGGGAGCGGGGAGTCGGGACAAGCGAAGAATAGCGTGGAGAGGCATCGTTGTGGTAACGTTCAGCCTTCGACCCCGCACCCCTTCACCCTTTGCCAATTCTTGCCCTCCCTTCTCCCTATCTCCATCTCGCTCACCCTCCTCTTTCCCCACAGTCTTTCACGACGACCCTTGACCTATGGTCAACCTCCACAGCGTCACGACCTCAACCAAGGGGTCCACCTGCTCGCCTCTATTGCTTGCAGGGAAAGACTTGTTCTGATTCCCGTTCTGCTGGAACAATCTTACACTGTTGGCTGCACAGCTACACTGTTACTGCAGACAATTAACACTTTTGCTGCGCCAATACACTATTGTTGCTCACCAACAACACTATTGCTGCACCAGCTACACGTTGCTACTACACTATTGCTGCCCAACATCACCTGTTGCACCCAACAACATATATTGCTGCACAGCTACACTGTTGTTGCAACAAAACTCACTGTTGCTGCACCAACTGCATCTGTGTTGCAGTAACTACACTTGTCTACACCAGTTCACTGTTGCTACAACT